TAGATATTAGCCCTTTGTCAGATAGAAGATTGGTGAAGATCTTTTCCCACTCTGTAGAGTGCTATTTTATCTCATTGATAGTGTCCTTTGCTTTACAGAAGCTTTTCATTTCAAGAGATCCCATTTAATAATAGTAGATCTTAGAGCCTGAGCTAATGGTATTCTGTTCTGGAAGTTGTTTCCTGAGACAATGAGTTCTCAGAAAGTGGCTCTTCCCCACTTTCTCCTTGAGCAGATTTAGTTTATTTGGTTTTATGTTGCGGTCTTTGATCCACTTGGACTTCAATTTTGTGCAGGGTGATAGATATGGATCTATTTGCATATTTCTACATGTAGACTTCCAGTTAGACCAGCACCACTTGTTGAGGATGCTTTCTTTTTTCCATTGTATGGTTTGGCTCCTTTGTCAAAAATCAGGTGTTTATAGGTGTGTGGGTTTATTTCTGTCTTTGATTTGATTCCTCAACCAGCCTATTTCTATACCACTACCATGCAACTTTCATTAATATTGCTCTGAAGTATAGTTTGAGGTCATTTTTGGAGATACCTCCAGAAGTTCTATTATTGTATAGGATTGTTTTAGATATTCTGGGGGTTTTATTTTGTTTTCCATATGAAGTTTCTGTTCTTTCAAGGTCTGTGAAAAATTGTGTTGGTATTTTGATGGGGATTGCATTGAAACTGTAGATTGCCTTTGGTAATATGGCCATTTTTTTTTTTTTTTTTTTACTATGTTGATTCTACTGATCCATAAGCATGAGAAATCTTTTCATCTTCTGGTATCTTTTTCAATTTCGTTCTTCAGAGACTTGAAGTTCTTGTCATACAGGTCTTTGACTTCCTTGGTTAGAGTTACTCCTAGATACTTTATATTACTTTGTGGTTATTATGAAGGGTGTGGTTTCCCTAATTTCTTTGTCAGCCCATTTGTCTTCTGTGAATAGGAAGGCTATTGATTTCTTAAAAATTAATTGTGTGTCCAGCTACTTTGCTGAAGGACTTTATCAGCTGCAGGAGTTCTCTGGTGGAATTTTTGGGGTCACTTACATATACTATCATATCTGTGCATAGTGATACTTTAACTTCTTCCTTTCTGATTTGCATCTCTTTGATCTCCTTTAGTTGTCTTATTGCTTTAACAATATTGAAGAGATATGGAGAGAGTGGGAATTTTGTCTTGTTCCTGATTTTAGTGGGATTGCTTTGAGTCTCTATTTTGTTTGATTCTGGCTATTGCGTTGCTGTATATTGCCTTTATTATGTTTAGGTATGGACTTGGTATTCTTGATTTCTCCAAGACTTTTATCATGAAGAGTTGTTGGATTTTGTCAAAGGCTTTTTCTGCATCTAATCATGTTAATTTTTTCTTTCAGTTTGTTTATATGGTGGATTACATTGATGGATTTTCATATGTTGAACCATCCCTTCATCCCTGGGATAAAGCCTACTTGATCATGGTGGATGATGTGTTTGATGTGTTCTTGAATTTGGTTTGCAAGTATCTTTATTGAATATTTTTGTATCAATGTTCAAGACGGAGATTGGTCTGAAATTTTCTTTCTTTGCCGAACCTTTGTGTGGTTAGGTATCAGAGTGACTGTGGCTTTATAGAATGAGTTTGGTATAGTTCCTTCTGATTCTATTTTGTGGAATAGCTTGAGGAGTATTTGTGTTAGCTCCTCTTTCAAAGTCTGGTAGAATTCCACATTAAAACTATCTGTCCCTGGGTTTTTATGGTTGTGAGACTTTTGATGGCTGCTTCTATTTCCTGAGGAATGCAGGGCTGTTTTAACTATTAACATGCTCTTGATTTAACTTTGGTAGGTGAAATCTATCAAGAAAATTGTTCATTTCCTTTATATTTTTCAATTTTGTGGAATACAGGCTTTTGAAGTAAGACCTAATGATTCTTTGGATTTTCTTAGTGTCTGTTGTTATGCCCCTCTTTTTATTTCTGATTTTGTTAATTTGGGTACAGTCTTTCTGTCTTTTAGTTAGTTTTGCTACAGGTTTGTCTATCTTGTTGATTTTTTTCAAAGAACCAACTCTTGGTTTCATTGATTCTTTGTATTGTTCTCTTTATTTCTAATTTATTGATTTCAGCCTTGAGTTTGATTATTTCCTGTAGTCTACTCCTCTCCGGTTGTATTTACTTCTTTTTTGTCTAAAGTTTCAGGTGATCTGGTAAGTCGCTAATATGGGATCTTTCCAAGTTCTTTATGAAAGCACTCAATGCATTGACCTTTCCTCTTAGCACTGCTTTCATGGTGTCCTATAAATTTGGGTAAGTTGTGCCCTCATTTCATTGAATTCAAGAAAGTCTTTAACTTGTTTCTTTGTTTCTTCCCTCAACCAGTGATCTTTGAGCAAGGAGTTTCCATGAGTGTGTAGGCTTTTTGTTGTTTCTGTTGTTGTTGTTGAGGTCTAGCTTTAATCCATGGTGATCTGATTAAGGACAATGCATTAATTCAGTTTTCCTGTATTGGTTGAGGTTTTATTTATGACTGACTATATGGTCAGTTTTGGAGAAAGATCCCTGTGGTCCTGAGAAAAAAGCATATCCTTTTATGTTTAGTGAAACATTCAGTAGACATCTATTAGGTCTATTTGATTCATGACCTCTGTTAGCTTCATTATTCCTCTGTTTAGCTTCTGTCTGGATGATCTGTCATTTGTTGAGAGTGGTGTGTTGAAGTCTCCCACTATTAATGTGTTGGAATTGATGTGTGATTTAAGCTTTAATGTTTCTTTTATGAATGCAGATGCCCTTGTATTTGGAGCATAGATGTTCAGAATTGTGATGTCCTTTTGGTGGACTTTGCTTTGATGATAATGAAGTGTTCTTCCCTATCTCTTTTGATTAATATTGGTTAAAAGTCTATTTTATTAGATATTAGGATAGCTATTCCAGCTTGCTTCTTGGGTCTGTTTGCTTGGAAAACCTTTTTCCAGCCCTTTACTTTGAACTAGTGTCTATCTTTTTTCCTGAGGTGTGTTTCGGAAACTGTTCTGTTAGCTTTTACCATTTTTATTGGAGAGTTGAGTCCATTGATGTTGAGAGATAATAGCGACCAATGATTGTTAGTTCCCTGTATTGTGGAGTTGATGGTGATAGTGGGTTTGTGTGCTTGTTTTCTTTTGGTTTTCTGTTGTGAAGTTATCCCTGTCCTGTGTTTTCTCGGGTGTAGCTGACCTCCTTTGGTTTGGAGTTTTCCTTTTAGTATCTTTTGTAGGGTTGGTTTGCTGGGTAGATATTGTTTAAGATTAGTTTTGTCATGGAATATTTTATTTTCTCCATCTACTTGGATTGAGAGCTTTGCTGGGTATAGTAGTCTGGGTTGGCATCTGTGGTCTCTTATTGTCTGCATAATATCTGCCCAGGTCCAGGCCCTTCTGACTTTCATAGTTTCTGTTGAGAAGTCAGGTGTGATTCTGATAGGGCTACCTTCATATGTTACTTGGTCTTTTTCCCTTGCTGCTTTTAATAGTTTTTCTTTGTTCTGTAGATTTAGTGTTTTGACTATTATGTGATGTGAAGACTTTCTATTTTTTGGTCTAGTCTATTTGGTGTTCTGTAGGCCTCTTGTATGGTTAAGGGCATCTCTTTCTTTAGTTTGGGGATTTTCTTAGGAATATGCTCTGTACCTTGGAGCCTGGAATCTTCTTTTTTGTCTATTGCTATTATTCTTATGCTTCATATTTTCATGGTGTCCTTGATTTCTTGGATGTTTTGTGTCATCTTACCAAAAGCATTCTACAGATTTAATGCAATTCCCATCAAATTGCCAGCACAATTCTTTACAGACCTGGAAAGAAAAATTCTCAACTTCGTATGGAATAACAAGAAACCAAAAATTGCTAAAACAATCCTCTACAATAAAAGATCTTCTGGAGGTATCTCCATCCCTGATCTCAAGCTGTACTATAGAGCAACAGTTATAAAAACTGCATGGTACTGGCATAGAAACAGAATGGTGGATCAATGGAATCGAACAGAAGACCCAGAAATAAACCCACACACTTATGGACACCTGATTTTTGACAAAGATGCCAAAACCATGCAATGGAAAAAAGACAGCATCTTCAACAAATGGTGCTGGTCCAACTGGATATCTACATGTAGAAAAATGAAAATAGATCCATACTTATCACCCTGCACAAAACTGAAGTCCAAGTGGATCAAAGACCTCAACATAAAACCAGACACATTAAATCGGCTAGAAAAAAAAGTGGGGACTACCCTAGAACTCATTGGTACAGGAGAGAACTTCCTGGACAGAACACCAACAGCACTCTCTGGTTTCGCAGACTCTGACATTCTGCCCCTTAGATATGGTACACACGGTCACTGCAATCTTGTAACCTTTTAATGAAGCTTTGCAATGCAGGCATGAGCCAGTTTGAGAGACCAGGACTCTAGTATGAGCTCTTAAAACTTCATGCATCTATTCTTTACAGGACTGATGAGAAAATATAGTCAATGATACAAGAGAACATCTGGGAAAGTGAAACTTTGGCTCAACTCTTTTGACAAAAATGTTAATTGACTGAACACTACAGTGACTGAGCATGGTTACTTGTATGAAGCCCTCTTAGAAATCTCTATATCCAGAAGAGTCCATTTACCCCTGCAGGATGTCCTTTATAACAGTACAGTGTTGTTTGTCTGTTTTTGCTAAATCCATGATGTAGGGAATTATCCAGATTTTTGTGTCAAGCTAATAACTCACTGAATATTCCATTTGAAAAGAAACTTGGCAGGATCAATCTTAGTTTACCTGTCTGTGGGACAAGTGAGGCACAGAGAACAGAACTGACTTTCCCAAACATCAAACTTTATTGTTGGTTTGTGGTCCATCCAGGGGTAACCAGCTCTAAATTCCCATCTTACATCCTTTCTCTCACTCTTTGTAAGATGCAGCAACACTGCATTGTACCTTGGCACATAAAATGGTAGTAACATTGACTTAGAGAAAATTTTATAGGCTGTATATACATACCTTATAGGCTTCTACTACTAAATTGTTGAGATTTGCAGCTTTGGATTCTATTTCACCAGCAATGGCACCAGGCAAAAGGGGCAGAAGATCCTGTAAAATATGTGAGTCATGGGTGCATTATATAACAGTAGCATATAAACCATGAGCAATCAAGACATTAAAAATTTTGCAGCTATCAGGAAGACAAGCTATTTATATGAATAAAGAAATATGACAAAATCACAACTAAGAGAATTGCCAATCCAGAGAACTTAGAAGTATCAGTGTGTGTGGTCTTGTGTATAAATGATTATGTGTCCATATACTGAATTACATGACCTCAAGTCCAATTAAAGTTTCCTAACTATTTTTAGCATGAAAAGAGTTCTGAGGGCAAATAAGTTGATGAAGTTCTAAGTTTTTTTTTTCTTCTCCATTTAGATCCAAAATCACACTTGCAAATTTTTCAAAATGGTACTGCAATTTGCAAATACTTTAATTTTAATATTACTAATCTGGCATTCCCAATTCCTTGGTTTCTAAACTCTTTTCATATATAGGTAAATGCTTAATATAAATAGTGTTCTGTGGAATGGCACTTTGGGACATGCTGGGCTGGATTTGGAAGGTCATAGGTAAGGTGTGAACCTCATGGAGCTGATGAGGAAGAGTCTAGGTATCTCTTGAGAGAACGTGAGAATAAGCAATGGCTTCAAGATCTACCTGAGAGGAAGTGTGTCTGATTAGAGTGAGGAGTGAGAAGCACAGAATAATGATGAGCAAATCAAAAGCATCAATGTTCACTTTTTTATTCATTTTTCTACTCATTAAGCATCACCAAGTTCTTCTTCGTGCCAGCCAGTCTTAGATTTAGCAATTTAAAAATCCATGTGTCAAACTTACACTATTATATACTGTTTTGAGATATTAAATTCCTACACCACAAAGCACCATACACATGACACAATGGAGACATGCCCAGGGGATATCAGGAGGGATACCAACAAACATTCAGTCTGGGAAACATTTTTGTGGACTGTTTCCCAAGAAAATGACTAAATGTTTTGGCTAATTGATGAGCAAGAGCTAAGAAAGTAATGGCTTCTAGGCATGGGTTGGGGCTAAGGAAAGAACCACAGCACCCAGGAAAGATATAGCCTGATGAGTGTGTACAGAACAATTGGATGCATAGCTGAAAGGGCAAGCACAAGGCAGGAAAGAGCCTGAGGAAGGAGGCGGGAGAGACAGACAGAAGCCACATGATCTCCTATGCCCTATAAGAAAAAGACTTAGATGTTGAAAGCAGAGGGTGCTTTCAATAGAACATTTTTCTTCAGGGAGCATTGTGGATATCTTTGTGATTTTAGTGGATTGTCTAGGGAGCCAGGTAGAAAATGGGCCTGGGAGACAGCTCCCAATTCTGGCTTATGAACCAGATAAACATGGTTTATAAAAATGATCCCTCTCAGAGTAGATGACAGTGGGGGCACCTGGAACTCTTAGCAGAGGTTGTTCAGGCTTAGAGAGCCCAGTGAGTCTTACTTTGCACACAATTGAGTTAATAATAAACACGATTTTGATGTATATACAGTACTTATATATGAAATTCTCCAAAAAAGAAGCAAGCAAACAAACACACAAAAAAGCATACAGTTGCTGTTCTCTAGTCCTAGCTTATTATAAGGACATGGCTATATAAGCAGGACTTCAGACAAAAAGGAACAGAATTGGAGTATGAAACACTTCTCATCTGAGGGACATCTTCCATTAGTGTTACACTGAGTATTGCTTTGGGATCAGGCTGTGTCCATATGTATCGAGTACAGTTCTCATACAACTTTCAGTGTCCACATGGGATGGCTCTAAGTGTCACCAACTTAGACAAAATTTGCATGCAAGTGTTAACATAAGATACTATAAAGTTTAACTTAATTGAGGCACCTTTACATGGTTTATCAGACTCCCAGAATCCCCATTTCTGCTTCTGCCCTCACTTCAACCAATCCAAGCATTTTAACTTTAATGTTGCAGACGTAAACATACCTTGTACCAATGAAACTGCTTTCCTTGAACTGCAAAAATGACATTTATGTTGTTGTCTATTAACTTTTCAGAAAGTTGGCCTAATGAAGGATGTTCCTGTAATGGACAGTGAAAGAAAGAAAGGAGTGAAGGCCATCAGCTCAGTCTCACACATCTCCAGACTCTTAGTATACAAAAACCAAAATAAAACAACAACAACAACAACAACAAATGTGACTTAGAATAGCGATGCAGTTACTTGTTAATGATAGTCAAGGAGCATTCAGACTGTTTTCAAATGCAGTACCAATGAAGTCAGGGTGTCTGACTGCAAAGCTCCGTAAATGTCTACAGCTTAGAAAAGGTCAAATTCACACAATAAAATTAGTATTACAGCCCTGCTAGTTTAATACTGGACTGAAAATGAAATAACTGAAAGCTAGTGTAATGCTCAGAAGTAGGGACATGCAAGTAACGGTGCATTCTGAGGTAAAGCTCAGCAAGATTTGAAGTATAAAACATTAATATTATATATATATGATTGTACACACCCATTGTTGTATACACATATGCATCTATGCACACATGTCTGTGTGGTGCACATTTAATCTGACTTCTGACACAGCATGTATAAACTATCTTCATAGCAGAAAACCCTGTGGCTTTCATTTGGATAACAGAAGCTCTCAGCTCTACCCTCTGCATCGTGTGCAAGAGACCTGCCTCCCATAGTTGCGGATAATTAGAAAGGTGACAATAGTACATTAAATTAGAAAGACGTATTCAGTAGTTACTCAAAGTAACAGCACTCAGGACTTCTACTTTAAGTTCTTATGTAGAGTTCAGATTAATGACCTCTCAATTTATTGTTCTCATTGTTTAGGTGTATGATATACTGTGAGCCCACTTTACCTTGGTAAATACAACACAAAAAGCTAAATATAGTGTTGTTTTTTGGTGGTGGTGATTATTAGAAAGCTAGGAATGAGTTAGGAAAGGAAATGCAGTTTCGTTCAAGGATGAGAATGAAGCTCAGTAGTAGAGTTCTTGCCTAACATGCGAAACCTGGCTTCAACCCTCTGCAATGCCCTGCTACCTCATCCTTCTGTTGACAACTATTTACCGCCATGTAGTAAGGCACAGCTCTGGTGTCGTTTCTTTCCAAATGCTCTTCTAAAATTTAAATTGTTTAAAACAACAGGTTCCTAATTAGACATCAGACTCTACTTGCTGTGGCTTCTGGTTATTCATTGGTACCTAAGTGTAGGAGCCATCTGTTGTGTGATGGAGCCTATTAGCTTCATTCATGCAGGTCAAGATCAAGCTGTTCTGTAGTTTCTGTACCAGGTTACACCTGCCAGTGCTAATCTAATCAATTACCATCTCTGGAAACTACGTGAACTTAGTAATAAAACTAAATTAATTAGTCTTACATATAGCCAATATTCTGTGGCCCATATTTTAAATGTATGCATATGGACCAAGATACAGCCTTGCTTTTAAAAATACTGCTAGGGTAGCAAATGTGCTTGGTGTTAGAGCATTTGCTTAGCATCCATGGTGCCAGGGCTCAACCTGAGGAGACATTATAGCAAATACTCATCTGTATTTTTTTTTCATAAGTTGCATTTAGATGTGATACGAAACCAATTCAGGAAGAGGCCCGAAAAGTGTTAGTACATGGTCTTGCATAAGAAAAGTCTTGCATTTCTTAGGACTGTAACTTTAAAGTGATAGAAAAAAATTCTCCTAGAAAAATTTCATTTCCTGTTCCTAATAAAGTACATGGCATTAAAGTAGATTTGTGACAGTTTGCAAAACACCAGTTAAGCCTCAGGGACAAATCTAGATACATTGGGCATATCACTTTAATGGCAAAAGTTACTTTTTAAATATTTTTGCTTTGACAAAAAATAATAACAGCTTGCCAAGCACTCACTCTTCTTACTTTTAAAAACACCTCATTTAAAATAAAAAACCATATGTTTTTAACCAGCTTATACTTAATTTATACAAAGTCAGTATTTATAAAAAGTTGAAAATGTGAGCAACTTTTGGAGCCCTTTAAATTTATTTCCTCTTCCACAAACAGGAAGTCACACTAACCAAAATTCAAGTCTGGAACATTCATTCTACTTGGTTAGAAGCTCACTGAAAAGGTTCATTAGACTTTTAAGTTTAAAAGATTTTTTTTCCCCTAGAGAAAGCTATTTAAAAAAATTCCTAAGTACCTTGAGGCAGATTTTTTAGGTTATAAATGTCTAACACATGTTTAAATAAACCACTGTTGACAAGTGGCTGTGGATTAATGGCCATTTCCAAAGCCTCCTTCCCTCCCCTCCATGAAGCACATTCTCTTTCAAGCTTTTTATCTTATATGTCTTTTTTTTTTCCCTGCTACTAGGAAAACACATCCCCTCTCAGTCAGCTGCTCTGTCCTGGTGATGTCATGACTTCTCAAATCTAGCACATACACCACCTCCCCCAACCTAACCCATTACGTATTGCTTATCTAAACTCTGAAAATAATTAATGGAGATAAGGTGCATTTTAGAGGCAAAAGGGAGACGGAACAGACTTGCCAGGAGAACCGCTAAGTAATTAGGCTTGCTGGGAGTGACTTATGAATGTCAGGCAGGAGGAGAGGTTCCTGGGGAACACTTTTAGTCAAAGTGAGGGAAGAAAGTACAGTTGATTAACAATAACATGCATGGCCAGGGGGACAAAGAAGGTGCTGAAGATTCTCTTCATTCTAAGTAAAATTAACATAAGAGGTACAGTAGGTTAGAGTTTGTAGTGCTGAAAACTAGTAAGATGTCGGAAACTTCACTTTTTCATGAGTTTGTGTTTTAAAGGAAAGAGACAGTGTGATAGTGAAGATTTATTTGGAGAGGAACACTTGAAAGATATGTCGTCCATTTACTTCTGTCTTAGCAGTCTGGCTTTTAAGCACATGTGGATCCTGGTAACAGCAAAGGGCAGGCTGGGCAAGAGTGGGGCTGCCAACACTTGGGGATGGATATTGTCGTCATGTTGAGATCGTGTCCACACTGGGTGTCTTTTCAATGCAGTCTGCAAGTGCAATCGAGGCTAATGTCCGCGTAGTCACTACAGGGCAGCATCCCTTCCTCTGTGCTACGATATCGGAAATGTTTTCCATGACAGTGTCCTCTTAAGAGTGAAATCTCCCAAAGGAAATCAAGAACAGGAGATCTGGACAGAGCAATGAAGGAGGTGCTACATCTCCAGCCCTGTAACTGCCTGTTTTGCCCTCAATTTGGATCTTAAATGTCTCTCAACAGCCTCCTTGGTGGAAGAATGGTCTGCAAACTGTGACACTAGAGGGTATCAGTGGAACCTTTCTCTGGTGGGGTTTATTAGTCTCAGGCCACTGCTACCTGGCCACAAGGTAATCAGTTTTGCCACCATAGTCCCAATGTGATGAGGACAAACTTTCATGGACCCTAACCTCCCAAAGTGTGAATTAAAACAACCCCATCTTACAAGCTGATCATCTTAGGTAGGTGTTATCAGGAAGGGATGGTGATAGCACACTATGTGACCATGACACAATTTTCAGCTTTCTGAGGTCCTGTCTCCATGTGATTAAGACATATAGAAACACTAGTTTACACTTCCTAGAATTATGGTCGCACCCTCTTACATAAATGCACTGTTGAGTAAAAAGGCTTTGCTCCAGGTTCTGCAAATACTAAGCCCGTCCCAGCAGTGGAGAGTGGACAAGGTGCCTACTGCAGGCCCGTCCAGGAGTGGACTGTTGTCAGTATTGACTATCACCTTGTTTACCCACAAGAGGTAAAGCAGAATTCCTTCCTGGCCTGTGAGGTTGTTCTTCCAAAAAACAAAAGCACACACACAAAAGGACTGCTTACTGCGAGGCAGTTTTAAATAAAAGGCTGCTGCCAGTAAACACTGTAGGCATATCCTTACGTGTGCTTCTGTGGCTCTGTCTTGGTCATTAACCCTGGGTCGCTTGCGCCTGGACTGTTTGAGTTTGTCTCCTTCACCCCAGGCAGTGTTAGCTGTAACCATGAAATTCTGCTTAGTGAAGAAGAGCAAGGGTTAACAATCTAAGTTTTTTTTTTTTAGAATTTTTTTTTTTTAAAGAATGGAAATGTTTGCTTTCTGTTTGAATGCTTTAACCCAAACATTTAATTTAAGCAAGATAGTTTATCCCATAAACTTGTAAATGAAATTTAAACATTCTTGAGCTAAGTTTTTAGATGTTAGAGGTTCTACAGAAGCAGAGCCAGGTTCTTGTGACCTGGGGTAGGTGATTTTTGCATGTAACATTTGCTTTCAATTAAGAGTAACTTCAGTTACGTACTGTTTGCAGAGATCATTTCCTGGCTACTTTTCTGAGAACATGTAAAGCATTAAAACTGAACTTCATAAAATAGTTGCAGAAATATGCTCAGCATGTTTGCAATTTAAAGCACATAGTACAGGCAGCTGCTATCAAGTGTTTTGTTCGTTTTAAGAACTCCGCAAGATGCAATGATATTTGTTTTTTTTTTTTTTTGTTAAAACTGCATATAGACTTCAAGATTTCTAGACGTGTTTGAGAACTATAAAATGCCTTTTTATTAATGAGTCCAAGACACATGTTAAGAAGTAAATGTATGCTTAACACTTTTTGATGTTGAAAAGCCCATTTCTTAATCAAGAGCAGCAAAAATAATTAACAATTTTTAATTAAAAGATTATAAGTTTTTTGATTAAATGGACTTGTCTGATGTCAATATTAGTTATAAATGCCTCTGTGACTTTAAAATGTTAAAGAATATCCATTTTTAGTATAAAAACGCACTGAAATAAATATAAATTCAAAAAGTTTGTTAACTCATATAGCTAAGCTATGAATTACAAAAATTCATAGTATGTTCTTAACTTTGCTTTCTTTATTGGCAGTTCTAAAAAAACACCTTAAATGTACCTCATGGTCAATAGAAAGCTCACAGATAGTGTACTAAAAGTGAAGTACATGTTATACAGAACTGAGAGCAAGAGCAAGAATGTTCAACATCTTTCTGTGTGAGGAAGCTTAGGTCTGCATTAAGAGCACATCCCCTTCGGCACTTCTGCAGCCATCCCTTAAAATGCTGACCCAGTCAGCAGCTACTCTGTCCTGTGGGGAATGCACGGAGAGGAGCTGCAGCTGGAGCCAGCGGTAGGGGGTTCAGAGGAGCATGTGGAAGAAGAATGGAGAATTGCTGACTAATGATGGGGCACCCGAAAAGCTCTGAGAAGGGAACGGGAAGTCTGAAAGGGGGACACTGGTGAGCATATGCACGAGTGCATTGGTTGCCTATTTGCATTTGTGTGTTCAGGACTGAGAGCCATACCAGTATGTTCACTTAATGCCTCCCACGCATGAGCTTCTTGGTTTCCTTCTCTGTGGCAGAAGATCTTTGTATCATTCTTGGCCTTTGCCAAGGGTGGTGTGAATGGGAGGACTCTGATGAGGTTGAGAATAAGTTTGGGGGAGCTGAGTTTGGAAACAGAATGAACTTCCAGGCCCTAAGTATTAACGTGTTTTCCCATCACCAACAATTCTGCATGAAGCTCTGTCCTGTTGGAGAGAATGCCATACTTTAAGTTGACATTTGTTGGCCGGCAGACTGAAACACTAGGTTACCACTCGAGTTTTTATATGACATTTAGTGTAAGAGAAAACACTAGAATGTAGATTTATTTAATAGTGTGCCATGAATATCAACAGCTAGACACTCACAGAAAAAAATCTGTAAAGAGAAATTATCTTAAATTAACTCATCTTTTGTAATTCAGATAAAACTAAGGCATTTGGGTTTATTCTTCTTTAGCTAAAGGCTACCGTGTAAAAGTTAGAACTGAAAACACACCTGGAGGTTGAGACATTTTGACAAGGTAATCAGGAATACAGACTATTGAACACAGAATATTAAAATGCAGTGGGTTCCAGATTTACAGTTCACTACTTTTGTAGCTTTCAGTCTTTACACAGATTTAACTTAGCTTTGCTAACACTCAGTATTTTTGCTAGTAAAAACATGGTAATAGTAAATACTATTTAGAGTTGTTGTAATGATAATTTCCGTGCTGTAGGAAAAGTATTTGCAAACGTGCTTTCAGTCAGTGGATAGTCATTGTGATTGGTGTGGGTTACACTGGTCTTTCAGAAATGGTTATAACTCAAAAATATAACTCTGTGCTTCAGAAACACAACAGGTCTGGATTATTTCCCTATATAAAGTCCAGAGTCTTGGGCTAAGACATCTTTCTTCATTGCTGCACTGTTTTCTGGAGGTGAGCCTAGAAAACGGGTGCTTGATTTCTTGCTTGGCCTGAGACACACAAAGCTTCAGAGGCACTCATTCACATTTTACACACAGCCATACAACCAAGAAGCCACTACAGTGCCTCAGTTCCTTTTGTTTTCTTGTCAATGTCACCAACAGTGAGAATTCTCAGCAGGAGAAGCCTTTAAAATACAGACCTGGGGTAACTGAAATAAAGGTGTTCTTTGAGTTATTATCAAGTGCACCTCTTTGGTTTGCCCAATAAATCACAGGAGTGAAATGTGTTAGAGACATTTCTCTAAGTAGAAGGAATAATGACAATGAACACAAGAAGGACATGATACTTTGCCTGTTTTCTCCATATCACAATAACCCAAATGATGTCTAAAAATCCTGTAAAAATTATAACTTATCCCCACAAGGTTCTATAATATAATCTGTGTCTAACATCATGACACCATTTTATTTTGCCCAAAGATTCCTCCCTGGGTGAGCCACAACATCTACTTAAATATATAGATGAAGAGATACTGTCACTGGCAAGATTTCCAAAGAATGACAGGACTTGGGAATCATGCCATTGTCATTTCTCCTTTAAAAAGCTTTCCTCTGTCTCAAAACAAAGTAGCTCCTCCTGGCTCCTCTTCCATTGCTAAGGAATACTTGGACTTTTATCCTAGACTAAATGAGACCTAGTAGAAACCAAGCTAGATAAAGAAATTAGTAACACTAAAGTCAAAGTGGATCAAGGACCTCAACATAAAACCAGATACTCTAAATCAGTTGGAAAAAAAAGTGGGGAACAGCCTAGAACTCATTGGCACAGGAGACAACTTCCTGAACAGAACACCAACAGCACAGGCTCTAAGAGCAACAATCAATAAATGGGACCTCATGAAACTGAAAAGCTTCTGTAAAGCAAAAGACACCATCATCAAAACAAAACGACTGCCTACAGATTGGGAAAGAATCTTCACCAACCCTTTATCTGACAGAGGGTTAATATCCAGTATATATAAAGAACTAAAGAAGCAGAAAAGCAACAAACCAAGTAATCCCATTAAAAAATGGGGAATGGAGCTAAACAGAGAATTCTCGAAAGAGGAACATCAAATGGCAGAGAAACACTTAAGGAAATGCTCAACCTCATTAGCCATTAGGGAAATGCAAATCAAAACAACCCTGAGATTTCACCTTACACCCATCAGAATGGCCAAGATGAAAAACTCAAGCGACAACACATGCTGGAGAGGTTGTGGAGAAAAAGGAACCCTCCTCCATTGCTGGTGGGAATGTAAACTGGTACAACCACTCTGGAAGTCAATCTGGCGCTTTCTCAGACAATTAGGAGTAGTGCTACCTCAAGACCCAGCTATACCACTCCTAGGTATATACCCAAAATTTGCTCAAGTACACAACAAGGACATTTGTTCAACCATGTTCGTAGCAGCTTTATTTGTAATAGCCAGAACTTGGAAACAACCCATCAACAGAGGAATGGATACAGAAATTGTGGTATTTTTACATAATGGAATACTACTCAGCAATCAAAAGGGAGGAAATCATGAAATTTGCTGGCAAATGGTGGGATCTAGAAAAGATCATTCTGAGTGAAGTATCCCAGAAGGAGAAAGACAAACTTGGTATATACTCACTTATATAGATCTACAAGATATGATAAACATAATGAAATCTACACACCTAAAGAAGATAATCAAGTAAGTGGACATGGGTGAAGATGATCAATCCTCATTTAGAAAGACAAATGGGATGTGCATTGAATGTATGACAGGAGTCTACCGCAAAAGGCATATGAAAGACTCTACCTAGCAGTGTTTCAAAGCAGACACTAAGACTCATAACCAAACCATGGCAGAGTGCAGGAAATCATATGAAAGAAGGGGAGTTAGTATGATATGGAAAGGATAGGAGCTCTACAAGTACCAAATATATCCGGGCACAGGGTCTTTTCTGAGACTGACACTCAACCAAGGACCATCTATGGATATAGCATAGAACTTCTGCTGGGATGTGGCCCGTGGTAGCTCAGTAACCAAGTAGTTTTCCAAAGCAAGGGGAACAAGGACTATTTCTAACAGGATCTCAAAGGCAGGCTCTTTGTCCTCCCCCCCCCCAGGGGAGGAGCAGTCCTGTTAGGCCACAGAGGAGGACTTTGCAGCCAGCCTTGAAGATACCTGATAAAACAGGATCAGATGAAGGGGAGGAGGGCATCCCCTATCAGTGGACTTGGAAAGGTGCAGGGAGGAGACCAGGGAGGGAGTTGGGGAGGGAATGAGGGAGCGGGATACAGGCTGGGACACAGAGTTAACAAATTATAACTAAAAATAAAAATAAAATTAAAAAAAAAGAAATTAGTAACAAAAGAGAAATCTAGCTGCATAGGAGAGAAATCACAAATTGAAAGATTCCCCTGGGGTTAGTCCAAGCCTGAATTTTAAATGTGCTAAAGTTTTATTTATTTATTATATTTTATTATTTCATTTTATTATATTGTTTGGAACAGAATCTGATATGCCTATGTTGGTCTTTAAATTGTTATAGAACTCAGGATGAGATTGAATTTCTGATCCTCTTGTCTCTACCTCCTGAGTGCTAGAATTACAGGCATGAACCACCATGCCTAGTTAATGTGGTAGCAGGCAATGGGGCTTGTGTTATCTTTCTGCAAACATTTGCAAGTAAATAACGGTCAGCATCAGACACAAATCATACTTTGTTGTCCATTTTTTTCATATCTGCAATTAGCTAATGCTAGGAAAGATGTGGTGATAAAAGGTTGCATTTAAATACATGATTCAAATTTTATGCTAAGCTTTAGAAATTTATTCAGATAAACTTCATCCCTCAAGCAGCCCTACACAAAGTGTTGCAGAGGGAGGATGAGCTGTGTGGGCTCACAAAGCCTGCCTTGTTTTCTGCTTTTTCTCATGATCTTTTCTTAGCTTATTTAGTATTGTATTCTGAAGATTTCCTATACAATCTCCATTTATCTTATCACTTCTTATTCTATTTATACATACCAGCCTCATAAAACTAGCTTATTTCCCCAAAACAAAGCCATGTTTTCCTTTCTTCTCAAGGTTTTTAAATCACATGAAAGTGAGCTCTTGAATCATCTTATTCTAAAATCTCTACAGTTCTTAGTAGCTTGTCACAGAGTTGGATACTAGACAACATCACTGTCTTTCAGCCATCGACTTTCTTGAACAGTAACTGTAGACTGTACTACTCCATTAGCTGTTGGTTCCTGGTTCATCTTAGTTCTGCATACTGCTTTTAGATAATTTCCTGGGACGAGAGTGAGTGAACTGACTATTTAAACTTTCGTTTTAGCCTAAGGTATCATCATAGCTAAGAAGATTTGTTGCTACCTTACCATGGTTGTCGATTTGATGTAGACATTGTTTCTCAGGTGGCAGTTTCCATCATTTGGCACCACTATGCCTGCCAATTTGCTATCAAGAGCAAGATGTGATGTCTGGTCTGTCATCACCAGCAGCAATCTTTTAGCTTCTTTTCTCCATCCAATATGACTCTTAAAATAAACATGTAGTTAGACCTTGTGTAATGACATGGCCCTCACTGTGGTCTTTGCCTCAAGTAAATGATGTGGTCAAGCTGACAAACATTAAGTTAGGCTTGATGATGTAGTGTCTCTGAAATAGCACACCCATGTATATGTTTACCCTTTAATCCTTCACTATCATTTGGCTATGCTAGTTCCTGCCTAGAGGAATGCTCACCGTCCATTGGAGGAAGAATACATGGAATAACATGGCATGGATGAGACAACAGAGTCTTTCTGGCTCTTCCTTGAGGTGTGTGCAAACAAAGAGCATCCCCTTTGTTAAACCTGTTTACCAGCTAGGCCCCTCTAACACAGCATATACCAAATGAATCCCAATAGTAATGAGAAATGAGATTTTAAAAACTGTATTTGTCTGTGCTGTTTCCATGCCAGGAGCCAACTAGAACATCAAACTCTTTCAGCCTTTGCTACATCTGAGCAGTGAGGCACCCAGCACACGGACTACGTACCTCACAGACGGCAGCCTGGAGCATGGCATCAAAACCTCCTTCAGGAGTATCTATATTCCCAGAGATCTTTTGTCTGTGGACTGCTTTTTCAAACTCAGTGATGTTTTCCGTCAGAGACAGCACATGAATGTATCCATGGGGAGGCATACAGTCTAAATTATAGTCACTGTGTGGGAAAAAAGTGCAAAATCTTGTTTTCTATGCTTCCTTAAATTTTCAAAGTGCTACTAACAGTCAAATTATATAGTTGTTGTAAGAAGACTTAGACCCCCTGCTCAGAGGTAGCTGATAGGCAGCTCAGTGTCCATGTGGGTACCCTGGTAAGGGGAGCAGGGGCTGGACTCTGTTGCCTGCTCTTTGATCATGTACCCCTGGTGGGGGGGCATTTCCAGGACACAGAGGAAGAAGATGCAAGCAGTCCTATGAAACTTGATAGGCTGGGGTCATATGGTAGGAGAGGAGGGCTCCCCTTTTCTGAGAAATAGAGGAGGGGAGTCGGGGGAAGAGGGAGGGTGGAACTTTGAAGAGATGAGGGAGGGGCTGCAATTAGGATATAAAGTGAATAAATTATAAAAATAAATTTAAATTTATAAAGAAGGAATAGCAACTATTCTTGTTTTGGAGGGGTGGGGTAATTTTTATAACATGTGGATCTGTAAGATTACAGGTTTAATGTTGGTGAACATTATTTTGTGAGTAGAAAATATAACTGTAAGGTTTGATGTTCAAAAATCAAGAAGATTCCATGTATTTCATGGAACAACGAAGCACGTAAGTATGCTAATTAAGACTGAATTTTCAAGAGGAACATAAAAATTTGTACTAATTTCCCATCACAGTTGGCCTTGGAGCTGAGGAGAAGAAACACATCCAGTGAGATATTTTGGGAATTCAGTCCAAATAGCATATTACTTTTTTATTTCTAAAATGGTATCATGCTAATTTTGAAAATGATATATGTAGTAAAACTTATGAGAATATGACTTTGATAAACATTCTTGTATCTCAGAAACAGACTCATTCCACAAGAAGGCTCTCTCCTTCAAGGAGATTGTTCAAACTAGGCATAATGAACCCAAGCTCAGGAGGCAGTGACACCAGCATTCATGAGTTCAGGGTCAGTCTAAAATACAAGGTAACACCTGATCACAGAAAACCATAATGAGTAAATCACAATGAATGAATAGATAAAGAAATAAATAAATAGAATGCTTCTCAAAGTCCTGTAAAATGAATCAACCCCATTCTGTAACTTGATAACTATTTCTGCAAGTTTGAGTGTGTAGAATGAAATTATTTGAGCAGTTCATAGAAATAGAAGATAAAGAAAATGATATATAGAGCAAGAAGCTTACAGAGCCATTTCTCTGAAAGTTCAGCAAGTGACACCATGTGATAACTTGCATGCTTGAAGTTAATTATCTTTCCTTGGGGATACAAGTGCTATTTAGAACCAGATTCTTATTTTTTGATATATGGTCTTTGAGGCAGTTGGCTACATCATTAACAAAATAAATATACATTACCATATACAGTAGGTTATCAGTATAGCATTGAGATGATAAATAGTCTAAAATGTGTCAAACCTAAAGTCAACAAATTTGGAGCAACCACAAAGAAAGAAGGCACATAGAATTTCCAAAGGTATTTATATGCATGTCAGCTTCATTGTTGGAAATTCATACAAGGTTACTAATAATAGGTAAATTTTTTTTGTATGACAAAAAGTGAATAAACAATATTTGAAAGAATATAGCTTAAAACTCCAGGCAAATGCTTCCAGAGAGGAACAAAGATCCTCCTCAAATATTTTTGCTTTTATTTAATAAGACAATATTTTGAAACATGTAAGTCTTTATAAAAGAACAAACAACATGAGATTTTATAAGAAAGATTCTTTTACTATTATCCACATGAGACATTAGCTACCTGCACTGATTGTGGATCCTTTCCGGGTGGACGCTAATGTATGGAGAGACAGTTTTATCCACATAGGAGCCAAAACCAAGACGGAAGTCACGGGAAAAAAATGCCATTTTTTTAGATAAATCATTTCCAACGGAATTCAGTTTTTCTATATTATTGTGCATTGATGCTGACACATCAACCAGATAATAAAGATCCACAGGGTATTTCTTCAGAGGACGGATTTTTAACATAAAATTAGCTTCAGCTCCTAATTTAAAGAAAGAAAAGCATCATATATTCTTCATTTATACATCTTAGATGTCAATAAGCCAGTGATATTTTCATCTGCATTTGGTGTGTCTATGTGTGTCGTTATGTGTGAGCACACTTGTCACGACATGCATGCTGAGGTCCAACAACAACTTGCAGGAATCAGAATCAGGTCTAAGCTTCTGTGCTGTGGACCCCAGATCCTGACCTCAGGTGCGGCAAGCACCTCTAGCTGCTAAGCGATCTTGGAGGCTTGAAGCGACACCTCAGCATGCAGCATATTTGCCGTAAGTTTACCCACCATCAAGTTACTTTTCTAACTGTGCGCATGTACAATGTCCATGACTCAATACTGGACAGATGCACCTTAAGTGAAAGCCGATTGTTTGGGCTCGCAGAGTAGAGGATATAGCCAATTATCTCGGTGAGGATGGCGGGCTTAGTAGGGGTGGCCAGAGCTTGTTGACCTGATTTTTCTCATCTTTGTAGATCGGGAAGCTGAATGCTACAGAGGGAAGTGGTGTTGGGTACAGCTCGCGAAGGCCCATCATAGTGACATACTCCATCAGACATGTCCTTCCAGAGCAGTGTCAGACACTGGACCACATATTCAAACAAAGGCGCCATGAGGGACCTTTTAAATCTAAGCTACAACAATGCATTTCTGACCGTTCTAGAGACAATGTACAAACATTAGACCAGTTAATACAAATGTAGGAGGAATCATTTCCATAAACATGAATTGCCCATTGCCCTCAGGCTAGGAATGTACAACGCAAAACAATACGCAGCATTCTATCAGAAAAAGGTTTAGGTGGCTGTGTTCAGGGAATGATCTGAGGAAAATCAGAAAGATGCCTTAAGAAAAATAATATTTTATTAAATGTAAGTGTTTATTCATCCATCTGAGCCAAGGTGTCTTAATCAATGAAATGTGAACCCTTGAGTACTCGACAGCATGTAAAACTCTTTGAGATAATGAGTAACATATTATAAATCAGCAGATGAGCTTTTTCCTATTGATTAGTGGGTGAGAGCAGAAAACCAGACATGCCATGTTGACGATGTGGAGGTTATTAGCTCAGCACACAGAAGGGCTACAGAAAATGTATGCTGAAGGAAGGCCACAGAGGCCAGCCAATGGCCTTAAGCAAATAACTGGATTAGAAGAAACAGTCACCCCCAAGACAGGTAAAAAGTCGCCCAATGGCACCTGTCTTCAGTACAGGTTATTTAGTTCCTGGCCACATGATGATTTGACATGAGACCTGAGTTATCCATCTAGATCCTTCAGAGATTCGAGGCCCACATTTAAGATATACTAGGAAAAGTCACCTACTTAAAATTTGTGAATTTTTCCTTTTAAAAAAATAAAATAAATGGTTTCAAATCATTGACTGTTCATATATAGAAAACATGTTGATTTGGAAATATTTATAAAAATAAATTAGAGTTCGTATACCCACATTGCAGGATGAGATATTCATTAAAAGATTTCCATAATCAACGAATTATTCCTGCTTTTTCTTTAATTTTTTTTTATAATTCCAATGTTATTCAATCTGAACTACCAAATCTATCACAATAGCAAGGCTTTATTAGCAGATAAGAACAAATGTAGAAAAGAAGAGATGTTCATTCATTTCCAATTTGCTGCTGGGTAGGAAGCCCCCTGGTTGTAAGGTTCTGAGTTCTGCCTTCCAGAAGTTTGGAGGGAAAGTGAGGCAAGCATAACCCAGCCTCATCCATCCTCTCACTCCTCTCTGTAGGAGCGGGGCTGCCTTCAGAGAACATTTACTCTGCTCACACTTTGGGTCAGTGCTGTCAAGTACCAGTAGAAACATTCTGTAATTACGAGGGGGGGTGGGAACTGAATGTAGGAAAATATCAGAAGATAGTATACGGGGACAGATTAAAAAAAAAAGAAACAGACACAGAGCACAATTGAAGAGCGTAGTTCAAGCAGAAGGGTTTGAACTTAACACATAGATCAACATTTAAGAAATATATAAATTATTTAGTGGGGTTTTTTCATTTTGTTTTATTTTTTAACTGTTGACTTAGGTATATTGCTAAAGGCCTTTAGGCATTAGCCATATAGTGTTTTTATCTTGGTGGATCATTGCAGTTTTATGGTGGCTCTGTCTGACAGTGAAGGATTCTCTGTATTTTTAAAGATGATGCTAGATATAGCAGTTTATTAGCAGACTGTGCAGTAAACTCAGCGTAGGTGTGGGATGGTGAGCTCAGTGAAAGGCACAGTTTGTGCAGCAGCTGCAAAGGTTTCCTTGGAGGCCTAAGCTATTGAAGGCACTCCAGATGAGTGCCAGTCATACAGGGGACTTGTGCCAACAATACGTGTCAATAGCCTAACCAGCAAAATTTTCGTTCACTGGCCCAGCAAAGAAGAGGTGATGAGAAATCCTTGGAGGCTATTGTGTCAGGATCCTGTATTACCTAGATGCTTGCCTCAGCACAGGTACCTGGATTGGTCTCCCAAACATGGGCTAAGACCTCTATAAGACAAGTTGTCTTTTAAAAAATTTATTCATTATATATTCCGATTGAAGGCCCTCCCTCAACTGCCCCCAGCCCCTCCTCCCTCTCTTCTTCCCCTGTATCCCTCTCTTCTAGCCCTGAAAGGAGGGCTCTCCTCTGCTACCTGCCCATAGTTTATCAAGCCTCATTAGCTCTGCCTGGATCCTTTCTCTCTGTGGCCCAGCAAGGCCGCATCACCAAGTAATAAAGATCCAGAATCTAGAAGCAAACTAGATGTCCCCAAAGGAGGAACAGAAACAAAAATTGTGACAAATTGTCATTTAAATGTACAACTTTCCATACTTGAGTCACTGCTACTTTTACATCTCAAGATCCCTGAACTGCCAGTGAGGTTTTTACTGGTTCAGGGTTGACAGCCCTAGGCAGGGTGACTCCAAATCTCACTTTGCTTGTTAAGATGGGATCAAATTTGTATTTCCATGCCTTCCTTGTCTGTCAGCTTCAGACATTAACCATAATGGACTCTGAAGCTGCATTTGGGTTAGACAGTTATGTATGTGGGAGAAAAGAATTAGATATGGGTAAAGGCAGTAGAGACATGGTCTCATGGTTATACAAATACTGTATCCCTCTGCACAACTACTATTTAGTTTATGTTTGAGTGCAGTCAACACATCTGGCTCAGATGCATGACTTAGGACCTGTGGCTGTCATCATTGCACGGCTAATGCAGCCGTGTCTGGGTGTTAGAGGAACTATGGGAGATGAGTTATGCAGAGATAGATGTACTACATTCATATATTCTGCACAACTAGTTTACATTAAATGACTAAACTATTTTTTAATTAAATGATACCCAGGTCACTTTTAACTCCATTTTTCACAGTCATCTGAACTATGTCCTTTGTTCAATTATAAGTGATTCTATAATGAGATTACATGGAAATTTTAGGATATCTAAATTATAAAATTCTAATTTAATTTTAATTTTTAATTAAAAAGTGGCCACAGCCTAGCTTGGTGTGGTCAGGCTTGCTTGTTTCCCAGGATTGCTACCAAAGGAATTATGAGAATAACAGCAGAGCTGTGCTGGTGCACCATGGACCTCGGGACTGAAGTGGCAACCCCTCAGTCTCATGACACACTTGTTGGTTCAACCCAGTGGTTTAAAACTAAAAGACTAGCAATGGTGAGGAAGGCAAAGAACTGGGAGCTCATGGCTCTTGTTCTTTCCTCCTATAAGAATAGCCTCCAGGGCCAAAGACAAAGCAGTGGCTAATCGCATTGGCTTCTCTTTCAGAGGACTTTGGTTTAGTTCTAGAACTCACATTCTGCTCATAACCAGCTGTAACCTCAGCCCCAGGGAGTCCAAACCCTCTTCTAATCCCTGAGGGCACTGTACACAAGCCATACACAAATAAACAGTAGGCAAATACCAATCAAGATAAAAATATCTAAGTAAAAGAATAACCTCTTATTCATTCCTCATTAGTAGTGATATATGATTTGCAAGACAATTTATTCTAAAGAATCATATTACTTTTTCATGAGTATGGTTTTAGAATAAGAATGGTTCCATAGGCCCATATCTTTGAATACCAATTAGTGCCCAGTCAGTGGAACTGTTTGGGAAGGATTAAAAGGTGTGGCCGTGCTGGGGGAGATCTGAGGTGGGCTTTGCTATTCCCACTATAGTTCTTACTGCCTTCTGCTTGTGTATCAAGATGGGAGCTCTCAGCTGCCTTTGCTGTGTCATCATGAACTCTAACCCTTTGAAACCATGATTAATATTTTATGCTTATAAAACCTTGGTCATGACATCTTAATGCATCAATAGAGAAGTGATTAAGACAATGACGCCTGTTCAATCATCCCTATTCTTCCTTCAACACTAAGTGCAATAACTGACTGTCAACTGTCGGATACTGTCAGGGTTATGTTCAAGTATATTCAGAAGTAAGGGGGAACTGACCTGAAGTTTACTTTCCAAATATTTACAGTGGTAATAAACAATGGGCAACTATTTAGATTAAAGTTTTAGAGAGTTTTAGTCAGTGTGTTCTTAGTTCATGTGTGCTTGATCAGGCTCATTCATGCCGCTTTGCTCTAAGAGGATACAGGGAAATGACTGATTATGTTGCTGGCATTTTTCTGTACCAGTCTCATTAAGAGGAGATCTTAGACAATGAGAAGTGAGTTTCTGACAATGCCTCGGTTTTTGTTCAAGTTCTTTGCTGCCATGGAAATATGCTTCCTTGTCTTTGTCAGCTTCTATTTGCAGAGTACAGATGAGTGTGAAGAACATACTATGTGTGTATGTATATGTGTGTGTGACTTAAATTGCATTTTATAACTAATTTTAGATCCCATTCCCCATATTAAACAGGCAAACCACTAAACATAGTTGATAGTCAAGGCCAACTATGTGGAAAATGGTTATAATTGACTATAATCGGGGCTAACCATAACGTTTCCTCCTTGGTATTTTCTTTCCTTTATGAATTTCTTCACTCCCCTTCCATCTTTTCTCCTCTTCTCAGCTTTTTTTATGGTTGTTTCAGACAGAACTGCACTATGTAGCTCAGGTTGCCTCAAACTCAGCTCCCCTGACTCTTCCTACTCTTCTTGGTTTTTGCCTGCATTTTGCCTTCTCAGTTCACTGCCCTCCGTTGCCTTGAGCTTTCTCCCGGTCACTACACTGTGGACTCTGTCTTTTTAAAACTCAAAGCTGTATGTCACTGCCTGCTTAAGATGCCCAAGTAGCTTATCACGCCAGATTGAAGCGCCTCATCATTTTGACTCTGTCTTCATCCCAAGTCTAGCAAACCAAAACTGCTTGTAAGCCCCCAGAAGTATTCTGCAAACACATACTTCCATGCTCTGTTTATATTCGTTTTTCCTGTGGTAAGCTAACTTCCCTTTCCTTTGTGTAATTACTGCTTTAAGACACTGTTCAGTAAGCTACCCCTCCTTGGACCAGGCTGAGCTTCCTTTCCTTGTTTTCCTGGCAACTGGATCATACTATCATTTTAGTGTTTTCCATGTAATTATGAGGTCCCAGACACGGCATCTTTATCTTTTTTTCAATATTTTTTTATGCAGTAAATTCTTTTTTTAATTTTATTTTTTTCTTATCAGTTACATTCCTTTTTTTCAATCTTTAAAAGCTTCTATGAGAGCCTTACACAGAATACTTAGATTTGTATTGGTACAGAGTAATACATAGTGATTATTGCCATTATTTCTACTAGATTCTAAGTAACCTTAAGGATAAGGACAAGTTTTCATCTCTGAACCCTCTGGTGAATCCTGAAACATTAACAGAGCTCCAAAAGGAGGAAAGCAATCATAATGATATATATGAACTGCATGAACACATAAGCGGAAAGATGTAATTTATAGGTACTTACATTTCAAATATTTTCTAAGGAACAGGACATGGGAAGGATACAGTCACATTAATTAGAGATAAATAATACACAAAACAAGATAATCTGCTGGAAATTAGCATTTAATTATAAAAATAGGGTGATTGGCATGTTAGTATGGAGAAGCAAATCACACCAAAACCCCAACAAAAATGGTTAGAAATAGTAAGCTTAAAAATATGTTCAAGCATACCAGTACTGGCTTTCGGGATGGACTAGCTACACTGAGAATACTGAAGACTGAGCCAGTGAGATGGCTCAACCTGTTAAAGATGCCTCCTGCCAATAACCCATGTTCTATCCCTGGGATGACAGAAAGAAAGACTGACTCCCACAAAATGTTCCTTGACCTCCCCTTGTGAGCCTGAACATACACACACACACACGTACATACACTAAATAAATGTAATAGTTTAATTTAAAAAGTAAAGAGATTAAAATGAATAAGATAGGAAGCTTCACTGACATAAATCTAAATGAACCTTATGAATTATATGGGAGTTGTATGAATTATATGGGTATGAATATATATTAAAAATCTAAGCAAATTTTTTTACCTTAATGCAGTGTTACAATTTGAAACTTGAATATTTGCAAGTGTTAATATGAATATTTGCATATGTTAAATGTCTGATCTATCCTCCAGTGCTGTTGGAGGTAGAACATTTAATAAAGAATTAAAGCCTAGCTTGATGAAGTTAGTCATTGGAGGCGTGCCTTTGGAAGCATATTGGGATTCCTCTCTCTCTCTCTCTCTCTCTCTCTCTCTCTCTCTCTCTCTCTCTTACCTCTGACCATCACGAGATAAACAGGTCTCATCTCCCCGCCATCATTAATTGTCTCACAGGTCCCAAAACAGTGAGGTCAAGAAACCATAGGTAGAAATGCTGGTGTCATAAGACAAAACAAATCTTTAAATCATTTTCTGAGGTGTTTTGTCACAGTAATGCAAAGCTAATTCACCTAGAAAATTCACTTTATCAACATATTCTAAAGAAATATACTGCTTTGTTGTAGAGAAACTGTATTTGAACTTAATTGGGATTATTTCACCTTTGCTGAATATCTTTAAATTAACAGTGTTTTTGGAGACTTGTACTTGACACAATAACAACAACTGTTCAGAATATTCTGTTCAAGAATGACTTATTCTTTTGTTTGTGGTTCGTAGCAAATGCAATCTAATTTGAATGCTCCAGTTTTTATTCAAGCTTTGACAGTGCAGGTATACTGATTCACAGCAAATAGGCAGCTTGTAGGCTGCTGTAAATCTGTGTAGGCATTTATATGACACAGGTATAGTGTGTGGCTTAAAAATGTGAGTGAGCACAAAGCACTTCTTACCATGGAATAGACCTAAAGTACTTATTGAGTATTTATTTAATTAAAAATTAAATTTTATTTTGTCTTAATTTCTTAATAAAATTTCATAACAATTTATTATTTTCATTGAGATTTACAGAGAACCAATTCTTGTATATCTATTTACATTTTATTTTAATGCTATCTTTAATTAATTTTATTATTTTAAATTTATTATTCCTTCTTTTTAATTTCATAAAAGCTTGTTTTATTGATCTTTTTTTGGATGCTCAGTTCATTATTATTCATTTTGTTTTCAAAATAAAAGCAAACCATTGAAAAATTTTAGAACAATTCCAGTTATGTCCTATCTATTTGAATGTGTTCTGTTACTGTTACTATTTATTAGTTTATGACTAGAACTTTGATTGTATCTTTTGAGTTAATTTTATTGCACTGTGCTTAAAGATGTTGGGTCATGAAATAGTTTTTAGTTTTTGTAACTGGGTTCTGTGTGGTTGATTTCTTAATATATTTTTATGTACTTTACCGTTTTATATATCAAGTGTTATAAGCTGAATAACAAGGAGAGGGGCCTTGGGATGTGATTAGGCTCAGCTAAGATCATGAGGGCGATACTTCATAATGAGATACTGTGAGATACTGGAGAGCTTCCACATCACCCCCACTCCTAGGACTTTCCCTTCACACTCTGCCATGTGAGGACTCATTAGGAAGTGATCACCTGTAAGCCTGGAAAGGAACCTTTACTGGAAACTAAAGCTGCGACACCTTGTTCTTTAATTTCCCTGGCCTGTGAAATTTTAGCCTTTCTGGAACTGTGAGGAAAGGTAATTCTATCATTTGTGAAAGGCATTGCGTGGTGACAGCTAAATAGACTAAGGCACCAAGTTTTTAAGCTCAGCTGTCATGTTATATAACTTTCCCCTGGTTTCCCCAGCAGATATTGAAGGGGATGATTAAACGCTCCAGTCTAATGAAGAACTTGCTGATCAAGTGAAGATTGGTAATGCAAGAATCTGTAGGATTTGAAGAAAGGCTTGGAGTAATGGCCATGGTAACAGCATGCTTTCAAATTTAGGTGTGCTCTGCAACTAAGCCCAGCTACACTTGAGTTAGAAGGCCAAGTTATAATGGAGTGTTATGTGTGTTACCATTCAGTGTTAACACAGAAACAAACAAACAGAAACTACCCTATAAAGATTCTAGAGGCAATGGTGGAAAAGGTGATGGATGAGAATTCTGTCAAGATATGGAGACTGGTAAAAAAATTGGGACTTTTAGAAGTAGCTAGGAGATACTAGAAAACCTGAGATAATGAGCCTTTGTAAAAAACAAATAAAAGAAAAAAGTCACTAGAGGTGGCTGGACAATCACAACTTTAAAAGGCTGTGCGTGCAGGTCAGATACATGCACAATTGCTGGAATATGAAGAGCAGGTTTTAGTGAACACACTGTTTATGAAAACATTCCTTTTCTTTTCTTTTGTCAATAGTAGGTGGGAAGAACATAATCTTAACTGGATTAGAAATACTGAATTAGAAACCCTGAATTAGAAAGCGATGGCTATGCATCTCTTTCCTGCTGGTATCCAAATAGTACACATTGAGCTGTGTAATCATTTTATATGGCGAAGAACCCAGTTCTAACTGGAAGCTAGGAACATGTCCAGGGAAAAAAACAGACTTTGCTTTACCGGTAACTAAAGAGTCTGGAAGAACTGGTTCAGCATTTAGAGTAGGATGAGAAAGATAGCAAGAATTACTATTATCATTATTTAATATTGTTGTTATTAAAACAAAAACCAATAATGCTAGGACTACCCACAGTGAACTAATGAAGAGTTGAAAACAATGAAATGTTACTTTAAAACAGTCTTCCAGCTCTGTGCTTTATATCTGTGTTCTGTGATATCTTGTATACAATTCATATATTAGAATTTTCTGTACCTGGGGGAATGAATGTTAACCAGAGCTACAACATGTGTCAGGCTGTGAGACACAGACGGGAGATATCAGAGAATGCAAGAGGAAAACTACATGCTAATCTCAGATGCCATCACAGAACTGTCTAAGGTAATCACGGTAATAATCAATGATAGTTTGTGTTTAAAGTTCATTGCAAAAGCTCTAAGGACTTAGCTTAATTTGCATTTCCCATTAACTAATGAATCAGTGCATCATATAAGTATTTTTAGAGAATTTACTCTATTCAGCACTTTGAGGAATGGAGAAAGAGTGCAAAAAAAGTTGGTTTTCTTTCTGGGCTTAGCAGGTATGTACACTTGCAACCAAACTTGACACTGGTCCTGCAGCCATCAAACACACATGGCTAAAGAAGAGAATCAATTCCTGCAAGCTGTTCTCTGACCACTAGGTGCACTGTGGCATGTGTATGCCTCCTCACCTTCTATCAACTGAACAACCAGAGGAAAGTTCCGTTTCCCCAGAGCCTTATTGTAACCTGAACACAGAGTGACTGGACCTTATGACCAGAACACAGAGTTATAATAGGATGTGGTAAGGTCTGTAGCATGTCCAGGGTGATACAGCTTAGCTACAATCATGATAGGGACTAGAACAATGTTTCCTTGATTGATCTACGCTCACTAGGATTTTAACTATACTACTGTCTGTTGCATTACCTTAACTAAGAGCAAGTCACTAGGAGCTGTAATTGCAAATTAAGGGTCACCACAGATTTCTTTGGAAATTGCCAAACCTGGATGAAGTTGGACTGAGACTTCTCCTGGTGTCACTTGGCTGTTGATATCATTCTCGCTTGGTGTTGCTGTGCGCATAGACAGGTATTCTATTGAATCAACCGGGCAGCCTTTGCTTATCAAATTGGAAACAGTATCACAACGTTCACTTCTTGATCCACCTGAAACAAAATCCTGTTTAAAAAAAGAAAAATCTTTGTTTTTTGTTTGTTTGTTTTTTAAGCAAGTCATCTCTAACAATTTAAGAAGCCTTACAATACAAACATTACAAAGGAAACATTTCCCATGCAGAACAAATTAGGCCATCACATAAATTAGCTGCATGCTTCTAATAAAAGTATGGACAATTTTGCCAGGAATAAAAGTTTCACTTCTACATTTTATTTAAAATTAAAAAAAAAACAAATTAATAAAGAGGAGAGTTTAATCAAGCACTTTAATTGTTGTTGACTGAGCACTGCAAAATTATACCAGCTTCATTCTTTGTAAGCATCTGACTGTGGAAAGACAGACTTAAAAAGAATTAGAGTAGACAACTGATTGTTTCCACATGTGTGCCTATGTTTCAGGGAACCCAGCTGGCATGTCTACTGTATGCTGTTATGCTTGGGGGGTGAGAATAACTCCTCCAAAATCACATGCCTAACTGTGCTGACAACTTAAAAGAAGGAAGTAGGAGTCTAGCTTCTAGAACATCAATCTCTACAGCTTCTTATATACAAAGCAGCCTGTAAATAATCAGATAAACCTAGGAAGAAGGTTGTGATGATGCGATAATAGAAGATTCCAATTCAGGTATAAAATGGTGACTAATTTAGGATTAGTGAAATATGCTTAAAAGTTAATTTGTTTTGGTTGAGATTTAAAAAAATGATACTTCCATTTTTCACATGACCATTGAGGCCTTGTATTGAAAAGTATGAAAATATTTTATTATGGGTAATAATGATCTAAATTGTTTATTTGAGATTGTTAGTTACATGTGAGCTGAATATTTGTCCAGCAGTCTTCCTAACAGGGCTATTTTGCTCCAGCATTTAATCATCTCACCTTTAAGTCATATGATTCAGGGCATTTGATCTCTACTTAATTAATCAGTCCATGAAAGACTACTGAGCAGATACTTACTATAAGACAATGGTTTTCTAAGTGTTAAAGATACAGAGCAAGGCAGCTAGAGAAACCACCACTGAAATCACGGATCACCGGGTGAATTCAATCACTCCACAGGGAAATATTATATGGGAGTAAAGCTTAGGGGCAAGAGAATGTCATAGGGTTTATGGAGAACGAGAACTGTAAGTCTAAATGACATGCCAAAGATGATGTCATTAATTATGAAGAGCAATATACCCAGCAACAGGGAATGATTAGGTAGAATCATGGTGGGCAATAGAAAATATTTTAAAACACCTTTGTTCTTTTCTCAGTTTACAGCATGACTTGGTAAATTAAAGTCAGTAGGGCAAATGTAACCATTTGTCTGTTTTTACATGGTTTGTATGTCAAAATGCCCCATTTTAGAAGATGGTCAAGAACAAGGCGAGAAGTGTGTGCCTCAGAGAACGTGTATGGCCTCAAGTGCTAATGCTGTCCTGCCTGGTCTTCAGAGTTGATTGATAATTAGCGATGGCCCTCACTGGTGATACAAAAACAATGCAAAGGAACAAGGCAATGCTCCCTTCTTTCTAAGTGACCCAGGTGTTTGCTGAGTGGCATTGTGGAAACAGACACATTTAAATTTGCTTAGCAGTTAACTTTCACCTAGGTTTTAATCAGAAGTTTAAACAGTCATAGCCTTTACTTATATCTAAATTTATCATATCAACTGTTAACACCTACAACTGTCAGGCAGAAATAGTTTATAAACTTCGTGGAGTGTCACAGAGAAGGGTAACCCAGCACGTGTCACAGTTCCTCAGGTATGTGTCAGGTTAGGTGAAGGGTTCCGCTTCTCCCGGTGTAGGGACACGGAGAGTACACAAGGCTTGGAGCTTGTGGCATTCCCAACATGTCATGCCACAAAGGGCCACACGGCTCTTCCAGGTGTAAAGGCCCCAAGATTTCAAATAATGCAAAGGAATGAAAATATAAACAGCCTGTAAGAGTGTCTGAATTCCAGTGTAGTGAATAAAGAAGCGAAGGGTGGCTAATTTCCTGTAACTATACATCAAGATATATGTCATGTGACCTTTAAATGTCAGATAGTTTTGCTAAAATAGCAAAATCCTCCCAATTATTTTGCATTGTCTGAATCAGGATGGCTGTTTCGGCCCACTGTAAACTGTTAAGCAGAAAAGCATCGCCAATTGGCCAATTAGGTTTGGAAGGGAAAGAAAAGGCTCTTGCCCATCGTGGCTCACTTTCCATTTGAAAGAAGTGATTTGATGCCACACCCTTTTAATTTTTGGCAGCTTATGTCTATTAATTTCTCCTAACCCTTAAGTTTTACTTTTTCTTCAAGAAAAATACTGGAGAAATTGGACTCCAAGTTTCTGTAGCTGAGATCTGATGAGAATGAGGGCCCTAGGCTGAAGTTGCTGCGGCTTTTCAGCTTTTCAGCGGTTGCCTTTTCTGTGCATCAGCATAATACTCCCTGCAAATCTTTCCCCACAGTCAGGTCTATTTGTTTTGTTTTGTGAACAACTCTTTACCCAGGGTTGTCTCTGTGTTCATGGGTTTGGAATTACCAGACCTGGTGGTCACAACTAAAGACAATGACAACACCTCTCCGAGGATCTTTCAGTTGCTAATATTTTGGCAGGACAGGGAGGGCCCTGTGAGCCTCTCTCCCATACATATCCAATGGTTAACAAGACCAGTCTTCTGCAGGCCCAGAGCAGGTAGCTACAGCTGCTGTGAGTTAAGAGTGCAGCTCTGGCCCATTGCCAGTAGATAGAATTTCTTATCCTTTCCCCTTAATGCCAGCCCTTACATATTTTCCACCAGCTCTTCTTGGTTATTTTGTGAGCTTTGGTGAGGTGGTATTTTGACCAGCTTTAAAAATTATACAGGCCAGGTTTGTTAAGCTGCTCTTCATCCATTATACTCATGATTAGGAAAAAAGAAAGAAAGAAAGAAAGAAAGAAAGAAAGAAAGAAAGAAAGAAAGAAAGAAAGAAAGAAAGAAAGAAAGAAAGAACACGCCCTTCTTTTTCCCTCCATTTTTTTCTGGCTTGAGAAGTCAGGATCACCAGCTGTGTCTGTGTCTATGATGGGTGATCTTACCTCTTGCTAACATCAGGCTAGCCCACAGGGATTACGCAGTTTCTTCTCTTAGTAATATGAACAATGAACAATCCCAAGATTGTATCCTCAGAGAATCTGTGTGTGTGTTACTATATTTTATTATCATTTTTGTGTGCATATAACATATTCATGTGTAAGCAGCTGAGCTTGTCCACTCAGCTATGTGCAGAGGCCAGAAGTTGATGCTTAGATGTCTTCTTCCATTACTTCTCCACCTCAGTCTTTTGATATGGTCTTTCACTGACTCTGAGTTTGCCATTTCAACTAGACTGTCTTGCCAGCAAGACCAAGGAATATGCCTGTTTCTACCTCCCAATGCTGGGGTCACAGATGTGTGCCACAGGTTTTGATGTTGGGGGTTGTAGCTGAAGTCCTGATGCTTGTATGGCAAGCACTTTCCCCACTGAGCCATCTCCCCAGCTCCTGGCTGAATTAGGCAGGCAGTGCCAGATCCCTAAACTAAGTATTTATAGTCACGTCTCGAGCAATATCCTATATTACCCCATTGGGAACTGATTAACATGTGGGTGGGTACAATCAGCATTTCTGTTTTAGAGAGAGGAAAAATAAGATTTAAAGGGATGAAGCAACAACGTTACATAGTTGTTTACATAGTTTATAGTTAGAAAATGTGGGAATTAAATTCAATTTGGTATCTTATTAGAGCCTGATCTGTCTAAACATAAATTATCTTACACTGCTGTGTAAGACAAGAATAACCTTGCAAATATTAAAAATGTCTTTGTTAAGGTCCCTGTTTGCAGGTCCAACAGTTGACACAGGTTCCCTCTGTCCCTCAGCACACCCCCTGCACTGGCTTTCTTCCTTCTGAATTCCCATCCCTTGGCACTCCCCTCTCCCCTAAGTCTCACTTCTGTGAGCAGACAGATGGGCATTTTCTGAGCTGCCATTTTTCTCCTCTTTTGTACCAATCACAGCTGTGAGAAGGAATGGTCTTTCTGGAACCCCGTGTCACACTTGGCTGACAACTAGGCTTTTGAAAGCTCACCCCAATAACTCCCACTACAGCACTTAGCAGCTGAAGTTGGCTTGGCACAAAGAGCAGGACTCTAAGGATCTCTTCTAAATATGAGTGGAGTATTGGCTCAGGGTCAGGAAAACCAGGCCACATAACAGTCCTGACACAGAGGACCCTACAGGTCAACTCCACACTCAAGGCTGCAGAGAATGACAAGGATTCTGTCTAGTCTTTAGGGTGACAGAACTGATGATCTTGGACCAAGAAACTCTTGAATCTTCCTCTTTATGACGTTGTCTGATTTGATGGATTGTGACAAAGTACTTCCTTGTAAATTAAAGACGTCTGATTTTTCTCATTATGGAGCCCAGAGAACAAAGTAGAACATGAGACTGCCATCAGAAAAGGTGACATTTAGGTGTGGCTACTGTATGTGAATCCCTTATGTGCTAGTGCCCTGCTCTCAAAGGAGAGAGTGGTACCCATCATACCTGCAACTTTTCAGCTGTCTTTGGCCTCCTGGTGCATACATGAAGAGGGGGAAAGTGGGGACAAGAGGTGGGAGTTTAGCTATTGAGATAAATTGAAGGAAGTAAAACTAGAGATTCATATCCATGTAGGCAGAGCCTCTGAAAGCCCATTGGTTCAATGCCCAGGAGTTGCATAAGTAACCTCAAAACTACCCAGGCAACACAAAAGAGACTCCAATTTAGCAAATGGAAATATTATATATAGCTACCTCTGATTTACAATTATTGATTTTTAAAAATCTCATAAAACAAGGTTAGAGCAAAACAAAAATAAGACATTACAAATTTTACTAAGAACTTTGAATTTATTTCTCCACACAGAACGCAAAACATTAACTTTCAACAATAAGAGTGAATTATTCTCCACTCTACATGATTTAACTGTACACAATCCTTCATGAACAGGTAACTGGAAAAATAAAGGCATCACATTTTATATAATTAAAAAAATTGTTATACAATGTTAAGAAATCACTGAACTGTTAGTATTTCATATAAAAACAAGCAAAATGGATCAACGAATCATCCAGCTTTTCTTTCAAAAGCAAGTATTAAGATAAAAATCAAACTTGGGTATATAACTTTCTGCTGCAAGTTGCAGCTAGAATCTCATATCAAAGTTTACTGAACTATTAAAAGTTATTATATATGTTTGTCAACTTCTCCTATAGAGCAGATGAAGAGCATAAAATGGTTTGCACTTCATGTCAAAATTACCACAGTTTTCTTAATAAAAATGTTACACTTGGTTTTATATTCAGTCAGATAAGCTGCTTTTCTACAGAAAACCAATTAAAATTTTCCTGATGTTCAGCATTACTTTTCTTGTTTCTGATGCATCTTTAAAGTACAGAATATTGGGTCAATGAAATCAGGCTAGTCAGAAAATTAAGGATGAAAAACTCAAAAGTAGGAGCAGCAGCAAACAAACAAACAAACAAACAAAACCACCATCAACAAAGACACACCTCTTGAACACACCATCCGCATTCGGGACCCAGCTGAAGGCACCTGGCACAGGAGACCACGGTTGAGGAGCCACATTTATTCTGGTCTGAAAGTCAAGTTAAGATGAACCATTAGGCTTTTTTTCAAGGTGGAAAGTGTAAACAATTCAAAGTGCAGCTAGAAAAGTAAAAAAAGTCACCTTTTGTTACAAACAGATGGCATCAGACAATATACAGTTTCATTGGCAAGCATTAAGCTGCCATTGCCGTTAACAGATGCCTGGATAACTAGCATTTAATTTTCTAACAGCAGAAGAAAAGAGGAGGGTGGAAATGTGGCTTTTGTTTTATCTGGGGATTTAGCTTATTGCAGGCTGTGCTGCACTGCAAGGGGACCTTTGAAAGTTTTGGTCACTGATGTCATAGCTCATAATCTCTGAACCAAGCAGGTGCTTTTCCTGCTGATGTTTTTCATGTAAAAATCAGCATATCAACATGTAAAGCTACGCTGAGTCACATGAGGGAAATTTCTGAAAAGTAATCTTGATGGACATTTAAAGTATTACAGTAGAAGAAGATTGTGTTAATATTATTTTGCGCAATACAGATATAGACACGGTGGCATGAGTCAGTATTTTAGACACAAAATGTTTAAAGTGAGTAAGCCATTTTAGCTAATCCAGTTTTTTAGACTGGATCACATTAAGATTGATTCCTGTGCGGGGCTGTATCTGAATAGATAGTTGTGCCTACAAATTGCCTTTATTCTTCCATGTACTAATTCTTAATTATAATAAGATTCATTATTTTAAATATAGACACAGACTCTAATAAGGGATGAGCATGTATCAGTCTTTTCTTGTGTTTAGCGGGTAACTCTGTTTTTGTAGTTTATTCTTGTACTCATATGGCCTATAGGCACTGAAACTCATTTAACTCCACTTTACTCATAGACACACAGTGAACGAGGTAGACATCAAGACTACAAGTCATTTGTAGTCCAGGTGGGGAGAACATGCAGATTATGTAACAGACACAGGAGATTTTACCAGCTTGCTCTGGGAATGTGATGAAGATGTTTTTTTGTACTTTAGAGCAACGGAAAGGGGTGGGGCTCTTTGCTGTCTTGGTTCACATATTTTATTCTCTATTTCTCTCCTTAAAAGTGCATTCAACATTAAAGTGTGTGTACCTACAGACATAATCAGACATGTTTGTGAGAGTTTACAGGGATAGGGCTCATCAAGTTCCCATTGCATTTTTTCCTCTTTTTCAACTTTCCTAAACATTCTAGAACCCAGGGTGAAGCAGCTCTGACTGGCATGTGCCGTTGCACAGGTGCTTGAGTAGGCAGAGTGAGGGTGGCAGCTACAGCAGAGAGGCACTAAGTTGAGCAGAGTGTTAGGCTAGTGTGCACCCTCCCTGCCTGTCCTGCGCAGGCTTTGCCTTAAGCCTGGTGCGTTCTTCCCTAACATGCTCTCTCACAGTCTGTTACTTACCCTCTGTGGTTCACCCACCCTTCGTCTTTGGCATTATAGCAAATGTATATGTCTGGGATTCTTCCCTTTGAGTGAGACTGCAGCCCTTATAAAAGAGGCTTCTCTGTGATTGCTCCCTTTTGCCTTTTTGGTCTCTGACATGTGAAGTCAGAGGACCTCTCACCAGATGTGGAATGCCTGCTCCTTTATGGTGGATTTCCCAGCCTCTGGAGTGAGGAGAAATAAATTTCTTAATATGAGATGTACTGTTACGGGAATAAGGGTTGAGTCAGATCTAGACCAGATAACCTTTATTAGCACTGACTTTGACCTTACATTCAGACTTGAATGGGACTCTTGACTTAACAACAGGTTGAACTTCGTGTTGCCAGTCAAGACTGCAGAATCCTGAAGAACAGATGCAGAGCCTAGGGCTCTGATCTTTATAACTAATGTTTGTCCAATTCTGACCTAAATTTCCCCACGTTTAAGCTTATATTGGGCTCCTACTTCCATAGCGCACAGAAATCACAGCAAATTTACAAGTAAAATTTCCTTTCCTTTACTGTCTTGCCTGGAAATCTGTATTGTCTAGGCCAGTCTTGTAGTAACAGCCATCTTCCTGCCTATGTGCTATACCCAAAGAGTGGTTATAAAGAGTCATAAAAGTTTCTCAGTGTTTCCTTATTTAAAAAAAATTCAAGGGCCAACCTCTGTTCTCCACCTTCAGATTCCTAAAGATGAAAATAAGATTGTGTCATTGCATCATGGATCCCAAGGTGGACATTGCTGAGAGTCCACACAACCACAGGTAAACAGTCCAGAGATGGATTTAGAGAAGGCAAGCCTGATGGGACCTGGGGGAAGGTGGGGAACTGAACTCCATGGGATCAGTGTCAAACATGGTTTCTGGACATTGTCATGGTTACCCTTCACAGATATGCTTTCCCACATGGAATTTTATGAGGTTGCTCTTTAATTTAAAAATATTCAAATTAGAAAAATGCTTAACATTCAAGTAACATATTAATTATGGTAATTCTTGTCACTGAGTGGACAAATTACTAGTCAGCATGTGATAAAAATTCTGTCTTTCTACACACACACACTCACACATACACACATCTGTGGAAGGAGAAATCCCTACAAAGCACACAGATCAATGCACAGTGCTGTTTATGGACTCTGGTGTATGTTTTCAGCCTCTGGGTATGTTTTCCTCATTGGCTCTCATTCCTGATGCAAGGAGGTGGTTTCCTAGCAGCTCAGGGCTGTGCCCTGACCTCTCTTTAGAGTTTAGCCTATGTAGGCTCCCCCATCCGCACCTACAGTGCTGCTTGCTGAGTCCTTTGTCCAGTGCTGTTGCCTTACACACACAATGCTTTATATTTTAGGCTTACATTCTTAGGAGAGATAGTTTTGTGTTGATCTTAGGGTGTACTCTTAAGGACTGGGAAGTACGGTGACAATGTTTTAAGCCACACAACTCCAAATATACCTTTTGTGCCCGTTTAGTCCCCCTGAACTCTGTGTCATTTCTCTGTGCCAGAAATCAGTAAAGGATTTAGTAGCTTATTGTCTTTCTAAATAATTTTATCCCTTGACCTATAAACAAATTTTCACATTATGTTACAAGACTAAAAGGCGCAGATGTGTTGGAGCAACATTGCCAAATGGTTACTGGGAGGCAACGCCAGACTTCCATGCAGCTGCTACTTAGTAACATACGCTTTGAAAGCTCTCTAACTTCATTTCTTCTCTCTAACGAGCCCCTAACAATAGCCACCTGTTTCTATAAGGACGTTATAAGGCAAATCAAGCAAGAATAGTAAGCACACAGTGGGGGACTTAGGACAGAGGTATATTAATTGACATCATTAATTATGCAGAGATACCCATATTGACATGTGCATGTGGATAACTTTAAATGTAGGTGTGTTTGTGTGTTTAGTTCTAAGTTCCCATAAAGAATGACTGTGTGTGTTTAAATCTGTAGTAAATGTACCTTGCTGTCTGTTTTTAACATGAAAGTCTCTTGAGTCATAAGACAAAAACTGTAGCTAATATAGAATATTAGTAAGTAAAAAGTTAATGCACTCAGCTTAGTTTTTAAAATAATTACTAAGAACAAAGGAGTTAAAGAAACATGTACCAACCCAGTCCTGTGAATAAATGCTGGGCCCAACTAAGGGTCAAATTTCAGAAGGTCTCTGAAAACACATTCATTTTATTCATGTTTTCACTGTGATACATGTGAAATGATGTCTATGAATGTCCACAGATGAAATAATAAGCATCCAATACCCACAGAGGGCAGAAAGATTAGGAAATTGCATGTGCGCGATGCTCAGCTTAGTCCTCTTTTTTTAGATGGCATTATTTAATCATTATTGTGAGACTGTCTAGTCAGTAGAAGTGAAGAAACTCACACAGATGACAAGAACTGCAAACAAAATGAAACAAGTGCACCACAGCACCCTTCCAACAAACAAACACACACACAAACACACACACAAACAAACACACACAAGAGTAGATGTAAACAAGTGCACCACAGCACCCTTCCAAACAAACACACAAACAAACAAACAAAGAGTAGATGTTTTGGTGTTTAGACTGAGAGATTTTCCAAGATCAAAGATCAGACTAAATGAAGGCTAGAAACAAGATTTCCAGTGTTCTTTTCTTGCTGTAAAGACTGGACAATAAAATTTGATGTAATTACAAGATATATATTGTTAGTTTTTGGCACATAGAACAAATAGGATTGACAAGCATTGTAGACTTTGATAATCAGAAGTGCTTACTCCAGATTCTTCTATTATTACAAATGGAATGATTTGTAAGAAAGTGCATTTTTTCTAGGCACTGTTTCTTTCCTTCTTCTGTTATTATACAAATAAAATTATGCTTGGATAATTGCATAAAGTTACTTCCTCTACTAAGAGCAAAGTCAACACTACATTTCCATAACAGTTAAACAGACACAGAGTATAATTTTCAAGGGTAGCTTCAGGGTCTTCTTGCTGATACTCATATCATCCGATATATATGTGTTATGTTATGGTTACCCTCGAGATACTGAACATGATTACAAATATTCAATCCATGCTGCCATTTGATGTACAAACAGAAACAAGGAAACACAGTGATGCTTCAAGTATTAGAATTTTTTATTCCAAGGTTTCAGCTAACATTTCCTAAAGGTTCCTATAAAACTAGGAAGGCAGTAACTTCTCTGAAAATGGTGTGAGAAAAAGGTGGTAGGGATCAGAAAAGCAGCAGGACAGAGGAGACAGGATGAGGCAGGAGCTTCTCTGAAGGGAATCTAGAAAGGGGAAGCTATGAAGTTTAAGATTAGCAAGTTAGTTTCTGAGACCACACCTCAAAACAAAGGCAATGAGAAAATAACACAGGTCTTCCATTTTCATTTCTTCCTCTAGATCTATCCTTAGACTTCATAGGTGCAACATTCAAACAGTGTAGGCTAGCATTTTTCATTTGCTTTTTTATTTAGTGCTTAGAATGCAGGAAACCAACAAGGAAGCAAACAAAAAAAATTACAATATATCTATGTCAAAGCTTTAGCTATTAAAATAACTTTTATAGAATAATAGAATAAATACATA